CTTATTATTTTCCGTTTTATTAAAAGCGGCTAATAATGCTATACATTCCAAGTCCTAACCATGGCAAAATATAGTCAGATGTATTTTAATATATATAAATATATTTCAATATATACAAAATATACAAAAAAGGGACAATAAATTAAAAAATACATAAATATATTTTAAATATTTCTAATTTATCAATTTCAATACATTAGGAAAATAATTAGCCTATATTTACATAAATATTTTTTATTTAATTGACTTAGTTGTAGTTGTAAGCTGTACTTATATTTAAGCCAATAAAATAATAAATAATTTCCACTCCACATATTTTGGATACATTTTATATATTTTCAATACAGTAAACATGTTGTACATTTGGTAATATTTTGGCATTTTAAATTGTCTACATATTCCTTAAGCCATGCTGTTTACAGCATAGGCCTTTTAAATATATTTATTTATGTCAGTGAATAATGACTTAAATTTTGATCTTTTCATACCACAAATACATCATTCTGTATGGGTTCAAAAGCTATGGAATACAGCACACAAGTTTTACAAGACTAATTTTATGATATTTCTGTGGTCCTTGTTTGTACTTTTTGGAGCTTGGCAGCCAGCAGTCATTAGAAAAGGTCATTTTATGGAACAGATATATGAAGAAATTACAGCATAAAGGTTTAAAATGACATGAGGGTGATTAAATAATGACAAAATTATCATTTCTGGGCAATCTATTCCTTAGTTTGATAGCTACATCTTGCACTCAATGGTAATATTTATACAACATCTGGTTGATAGTAGCAGCAGAGAGTATGTTTGCATTTGACATGTTTATGGGAAACGGGTCTATTCCTCAAAGCTCTACATAATAGCTCATGCCACCCAGATGACATAATGTCCAGGGAAAGCTCACACTGAAACCATTATGCCATCGTACCAGCAGGATGTTACGCACAACTTGTCCCTTTTCCCAGCGTGAAAGAAAGCGTGTAACAGAGAGTGAAAGAGAGGGTCACTATGTTTACCACCATCCAAGGGAATGTTCCCTCAACCATTCACTGAGGCAGTTGCAGGGTTCTCCTCTTTTTGTGTGCACTCACTGAACTCAATATTCCTCAAGGCCAAGGGTAATTCATCTCTGGACTCATACTTGCATGATGCAAAACATGAGTCGTGCACGATTTTTATTGGATAGTAGTCGTACTCGTAACCAATCTAGTAGAACAGAGATATTGAAAGAGATAGAATGATAGAGAGAAAAAGAAAGGGCGATAGAGAGATAGCGGGAGGATGAGGGTCTCCCAGTCAATTGCGATGCATGAGCATGCGCCTGGCACCCTAAACAAAGAGCCGCTTGTTTCTTGAAATTCACTGAGAGTGGAAAAAAAACTGCATTAAAACACATGGCACAACATATAAACACAACCAGAGGAGCTAAAAGCACAAAACAGGCCCAAAGGGCAGAACTTTCCAATGTGATTGAAAGAGAAGAGTGGGGAAGTTCAGCACTTCCAGAACTGAAGACGAATGTTAAAACTATAATTAACAAAGGTTAATGTTCATGTTAGTTAATGCATTAAATAATGTTAACAAATGACTCTGGAAAGAGCCATCTATTGTAAACATTAATTTCAGTAGTTGTTGCTTAGTACGTTGAGGGACTCTGCGGATAATTTGTAATCTGCCATCTTGTTTATTGGTGCTCAGTTCTGCTGATGAAGACTAATGAAGAAGAGAGAGACACGCTTTTAGCTGGCAGAATTGTGTAGTTATAGCATCTAGCAGCAGGAGCTAACTATGGAAGCTAACAAGCTAAAAAACTGACTACCTGAGTAAAACACACAGTAATATCACGTATTTTATCATGTATTTGTTTTTTTGTCGTTGTATTATTTTAGTTTAGCTGGTTAGCATGAGAAGTAAGCCCCTGCTGCTAGCTATTTTGTTTTTAGTCAAGATGGCATCAATTTGCTACTCAGTCTCTCTCAGTTTAAACATCTTAATCACAGAAATGTCCTTCTGAATGAAAGATTACAGCAAAACTAAATATGAAAGAGAAATATGAAAAATATGATGTTACAGACATGATGGAGCTGTATGATGAAGGAATATAGAAGGAAATCTTGTCTGATTATTTTAGTTTAGCTGGTTAGCATGCGAAGTGCTGCTAGCTATTTTGTTTTTAGTCAAGATGGCTTCAATTTGCTACTCAGTCTCTCTCAGTTTAAACATCTCTATCCCAGAAATGTCCTTATGAATGAAAGATTACAGCGAAGCTAAAGATGAAAGAGATATATGACAAATAGGATGTAACAGACAGATGATGGAGCTGTTTGATGAAGGAATATAGAAGGAAAACTTGTCTGATGTTTTTTCACAAACTCACAATTCTGGCACCATACAATCCTGTCACCTCAGGGAGAGAAAACATTCAATTTATGCTGAGAAAAGCTAGATTACAGACAGTTTTTCAATGTAAGAAAGTTTATGGCTCCCGGCCTCAGTTTCCCGCATACTTATCCTGCATATCAACTTCTGCACTGAAGAGCTATAGAGAAAGCAGAGTGGATATTACTCAACACTTCATAAAATGTGGCTGTTGGATATATATTGACAAATATTTTGGACTGTCATTGTCAGGTTACAGTAGCTCCTAAATGAAGGTTAGCTTCTCAAAAATATACACTCATATAGACAATGACATAAACAAACTCAAGAAGGCCTGTGTCATGAACATGCAGCATGTCTGGTATACTGACACATTTATGATTGATTAAAAACCAATAGTCTTCCCTGACTATTTTTGTTGATTAATTATACATTCCTAAAACAGGTTTTGTCACACTTATTCAGTTGTGTTAGCTCTTAGTTTCGTTTTTTTCATGGACTTTGTTTGTATTCATCAGTCACGTGTGTTCTTTGTCTTTGTTTCCCGCCACTCTTCTGCTTCCATGGACACAAACCATTCCTCTCAGCATCATTTCGTCATCACTGTGTATTTAAGTTCTTCCTTGTTCACTCTTCAGTTGTCAGTTATTATTTTTGTTGGTGCACGCTGTTATGCCTGCTGCCTTCTAGTTTAATAAATATTTTATAATCCTGTCATCTGTCTTCATCTTCTTCAGACCCCTTGTGACAGGTTTCTTTATTGGCATCAATGGTTCCATGAAGAACCGTTAACATCCACAACCCCATTAAGAACCTCCATATTGTACAAAAAGTTATTTATTGTAGAAAAAGTTTCTTTAGATTTTTAAAATGTTCTTTACACTAAGAAAAAAAAAATGGTTATTTTAAGAACTCTACTAACTTTCAGTAGAAAGTTTCTTTGGGGAACCAACAATGCTTCTTTTATGGAATAGCTGTGAAAACCCGTTTATTGGAATCTTAATGAAAGCCCAACAAATGAAGTTCATTATAATATAGAGTCTACAGTAGACTGTGCATTGTCCACTAACCTTATTTACATCAATTCATATCAGTATTTAAGAAAATCTTTGACAATCAAGATTTTGCAATACTTTTAGCAGAATTCATGCAGCTTTGTAATATGACTTTTTAATATCCGCTGAACAAGAGACTGTTTGCTTATAAATGAACAATATCAAATACAGAAGCAAACACCTGTTGTCTCTGCTATAATACTGAATAAGATTAAGGCAATGTAAACTGAGAAATAATATAATGTTCATAAAACACCCATTACACATTAGACCTTCAGTTAACTGATTTGTAACAGGACTAAATGCTTTTAAGATATGACCACTTTTGTCCTACCAAGAAGAAGACAACATTTTTTTAGTTTACACTTTATTTTAAATACCGGGGTTATACACCCCTACTCTTTTCAAAGGACATCCTGGGATTTTTTATTTATTATCACATATAGTCAGGACCTCGCTTTAAAGTCTCATCCGAAGGAAGGTGCGGTTTTTGACAGTAGTGAGTGTCCACTCCCCATCACTATACTGTGGCACTAGGACACACAGACCACAAGTTGAGCACCCCTTCTGGCCTCACTAGCACCTCTAAATTTTGTCTTGTTCGCACCTCTGCATATTCAAATTTGCAGTGTCACGATAGGTTATGAAGCACACCAGTCAATCACTAGATTTGGTGATTGAGATTTGGAAGTTACATTTGCTTTGATGGTGTTTTGTGTCAGTTTTGGAGCTTGTCTGGTGACTAAATGCTATTTTTAGTATAGAGTGAACATAACGCTTGTTATGGTAAATGGAAGAAAGAAAGTCAAATGGGTTTGAAATGGCATAGGGGTCAGTAAATAATGACAGAAATTGAAATCTTCTTTGAGTGAACTAATCCTTGCATGTCAGATCACTGTGTCTCAGTTAATCTGGTTTGTTACATTTTTGTATCAAAACATATGTCCTGAAAATTAAAGTAATAGTTGTTTATTACTGACTTTTGCAATAACCTGGCTCACCATGTTTACAATCTAACAAATGTTGCTGTAATCACAGTGCCCTCTGCTGGAGAGCAGAACTAAGGTCGGATGTTATGAGAGACCAGCATGTCAAAGAATCAAATATCTTATTTGAACAGATCTTCTTCAATGGGCCACATGAGAAGATTTTACATTAACATTAGAACATTAACAAACATTAACAAAGATTAATGAATGTTGTAAGAAATACAGGCAACACTTTACAATAAGGTCTCATTTGTTAACATTAGTTAACAACATTAGTTAACATGAACTAATAATGAACCAAACTTTTACAGCATTTATTAATCTTAGTTAATGCTAATTGCAACATTTAATAATAAAAGTTGTATTTTTAACATTAATTAATGCACTGTGAACTAACATGAACTAACAATGAACAGCTGGATTTTTATTAACTAACATTAACGAGATTAACAAATATTGTAACAAATGTATTGCTCACTGTTAGTACAAGTTAGTTAATGAATAAATGTTAACAAATGAGACTGTAATGTGTTAACAATAAAATAATTAAAAAAAAATAATAGTAAAACAAAGTGTGAATTGCTGATGAGAAAAATATTTAATTCAATTATTTAATTCAGTGTCTCTCGTTCATTCACAATGTTGGCCTACTGTAAAAAAGCTGACATCATAATTCTGGTGAAAATTTCAGGATAAGACAGACAAAAGGAGGAAATACATACATACTTACAATAATCACAGCCTATTACCATGATCATCTCATCAATATGATGCAGTCAAACCAGAGCACAGCTAACATAGATCTATGCCATCTAACCCACAGAGGAAGTTCTAATGAACGTATGTTCCTGGGCTGTCCAGGAAATTATTGATCTTCTTTGCCACCTCATCAAGCTCATTAGTATTGCTATATTTCAGAAGGTTGTGGGATCGTACAAAGTAATGCCGGAGATAATGCTGGCTTACACACTTGTGTAGCTTTTGCACCAGCCGTAATACACATCCCATGAAGTCTCTCCAGTCCCTGGTGCAGGGGTACTTCTCACATGTCCAGAAAAGCAGTGTCTAGATGATGTAAGGACATTGGAAAAGTGTGTAAACTTGCTTTTGTATACAAGCAGTGTGGTATTTCAACAGCCATATTAACTTAAATCACAGGAAAGATGATAGGAGAATGTAAAGAGGCTGTTTTGGTCGGGCTGGTACCTGTAGATGGTAGGCAGTGATGACGGGTTTGCTTCCAGGGCACCAGACGTCCTCCTTGAGCTGTCTGACCACCCGATAACACTTCCTGCGGCAACCGCCGTCCTCATCTATATTACTCAACAGCACCTGCTCTGCCCGTGAGAATGACAGCAGCCAGTGGTAGTTTGATGTGGCCATTAGATTGAATCCAAACGACTGCAGGGATTTTATAAAGATTAATCAACATTGTATTATATGTAAACAGTACCCTGGCAATTTTCTGCTTACTAGTCAGTTAATAACTGATAGTTAATAATAAAATAATATTAGTATATACAATATACCCAGTATATAATATATAATTTATATATCGTTTATATATTTTCATTTTATGTTTTATTTTATATAATTATATGTGTGTGTGTGTATATATATATATATATATATGTGTGTGTGTGTGTGTGTGTGTGTGTGTGTGTGTGTGTGTGTGTGTGTAGACAGACCGACCGACAGACACAGATAGATAGATCAATAGATAGATAGATAGATACACACACACAAATATAACACAAAATAGCTTTATAAAATACATTTTAATGTAAAAATATTAACAGGTATTCATATTAAATATTAATAATAAAAACAGGTTAAACTTTATTTTAAGGTGTAATTATGCAATTAAGTACAGAGTAATGTTATAGGGTTTAGGTTATGAGTAGGGATTGGTTTAGGGTTAGTTGCTTGTAAATATGTATAATTTACTGTTATTACTGTAGAAAGTACATGTAACATGTAACAAAGACGTAAAATAAAGTGTAACCTAAAAACATATTATATATAAATTATTTATGTAAATTGAATTCATATATACATCCACTGACCTTAATACATCGCGCACGCTCCGTGGAGGGCCATCTCTGAAAGAACCGGGGCCACCGAGCCCTCTTTGGCCAGTAGTTCATCAGCTCCACTGTAGGAACCAGTTCCACCTCAATTTGAGCCTCTGACGTTTCCACAGCAACACGTACCACTGATCCAACTGATTCCAGCATACTCACCTTACCTGTGAAAGAAAGGCAAAAAGAAAGTTAAAACACAAAAGAAACATAGCATGAACTAGTCTATGCTGTTACACTTTAGTGCACATTCATGCTTGTCCATTAAGCTTAAAAATGATTTTCTCAAGTGGGATTTATTCCTGGATCCACATACTTATCGACCATTTTAGGATTCATTTTAAAGACAGAACTTGGGTTAAGGGCTTGAACAACAATCTTATCAACCTATCAATTCTCTCTGATCTTGTTTTTTTTTTAATAGGAATATTGACTTTGTGCTATATGGTGTCCATGTGTTTGCAGAAATGTGATTACCATCAACCCATTGAACCTGTGAGTCAAATGAGAAAACAGTGACTTTAAAAGCCCTGCCTGTCAAATCAGGAGCTTTTTAAACTTCACACTGTTTCATTCTAAAGATTTCCTTTGCTACAACTGATTTGTTATCATAGCTGCATACAAGCTTTTATTGATTGCAATCAAAATACTTACAGTGGGATCCAAAATAAAACACTTACATTTTTCTAAGGTAATACAATGGTTTTCATTACAAATTATATTCTAAAAATTGTAAAGAAAAAAGTTCAATTGAACAATGCAGGTAATGTGGCTAATGTCAGAAATGAACTTAATATGATTAATATATAATTATGAATATATATATATATATATATATATATATATATATATATATATATATATATATATATATATATATATATAATAAATATTCATTTAGCATGATTCTTCCAAAAACATTTAGTATATTTCCAGGTTTAAATTATATTTTGGATCTCTGATTTTCAATGTGGCTTTTAAACCCTACAGTACTGTATATAAAACATTATAAATTAGAAAGTCACTAGCAAGTATTGTACCACGTACCAAGATTTAGTGTAACAAACAATCAAAACAATGAAACAATGGATGGATGGGTGAGTGGGTGGATGGATGGGTGGATGGATGGGTGGGTGAGTGGGTGGATGGATGGATAGGTGGATGGATGGGTGAGTGGGTGGATGGATGGATGGATAGCTGGATGGATGGGTGAGTGGGTGGATGGATGGATGGATGGATGGGTGGGTGGATGGATGGGTGAGTGGGTGGATGGATGGATGGGTGGATGGATGGGTGAGTGGGTGGATGGATGGATGGGTGAGTGGGTGGATGGATGGGCGGGTGGATGGATGGATGGATGGATGGATGGGTGGGTGGATGGGTGAGTGGGTGGATGGATGGATGGATGGATGGATGGATGGATGGATGGGTGGATGGGTGGATGGGTGAGTGGGTGGATGGATGGATGGGTGGATGGGTGGGTGGATGGGTGAGTGGGTGGATGGATGGATGGATGGGTGGATGGATGGATGGATGGGTGAGTGGGTGGGTGGATGGATGGGTGAGTGGGTGGATGGATGGATGGGTGAGTGGATGGATGGGCGGGTGGATGGATGAATGGATGGATGGGTGGATGGATGGATGGATGGGTTAGTGGGTGGATGGATGGATGGGTGAGTGGGTGGATGGATGGATGGATGGATGGATGGATGGGTGAGTGGGTGGATGGGTGGATGGGTGGATGGGTGAGTGGGTGGATGGATGGATGGATGGGTGAGTGGGTGGATGGATGGATGGATGGATGGGTGAGTAGGTGGATGGATGGATGATGGATGGGTGGATGGATGGGTGAGTGGGTGGATGGATGGGCGGGTGGATGGATGGATGGATGGGTGGGTGGGTGGGTGGATGGATGGATGGGTGGGTGGATGGGTGGATGGATGGGTGGATGGATGGGTGAGTGGGTGGATGGGTGAGTGGGTGGATGGATGGGTGAGTGGGTGGATGGATGGATGGGTGAATGGATGGATGGGTGGATTGATGCGGGGTGGATGATGGATGGATGGGCAGCTGGATGGGTGGATTGATGTGGGGTATGGATGGGTGGATGATGGATGGATGGGCGGGTGGATGGGCAGCTGGATGGATGGATGGGTGGATTGATGGGTGGATGGATTGATGGGCGGATTGATGGGTGGATGGATGGATGGATGGATGGGTGGATGGATGGATGAATGGATGGATGTATGGGTGGGTGGTTGTTTTGGCTGGATGTATAATCCCAAAACAGTTGCATATCAATATTATTAGTTGAGATTTTTCATCATTCACTAGACAATGTGTGAAACATTAAAACTAGCCTCGAAAAACGGATAGAAATCTAATTTAGAAATCTCTTCTCTCTCGTGCTGTGCGAGTAAACAAGGGGACACTATAAAAACACTAACTTGTTAGTCCACAGGTCTTTATGGATGTCTCTAGATGCTCTTTGAAGATGTTCACCACCTTGGCTGGCACAATATCACCCTCAATGGTCATGCAAGCATCCTGCCACTCCTGACTCGGGTTGACGAAACTCTCCAGCTCCAGCCACTGGTAGAGCTTCTCTGGCTCACGGACCGGTGAGAGGAGACGAGACCCGCTCAGCGAGTAGTAACGCCACTGACGTGTTCGCCTCACCTTATAACCCATCAGGCCCTGTAGAGGCACTGAGATCAGGTACAGAGTTGGAGTGAGCACCTGCCAAAATGAGCCAAAAATCTATCAGTATATCCACAAAGCAATGAAAAAGTAGATGCACAATGTTTTACTTGTACATTCATGTTAAAGTTATACAGCGGATAGTGTTGTCGCTTACTTGGATGGCGGGGTTGTATGCACATCTTCCCCGGAGTAATGCAGACCATTTTGAAACTAAAGCTGTCTGGTCCTAAATCGGGTTGTGGACACCAGAGGAATAACGCTGTTACAAAAATTAAATGTTACTATTTGCATAATAGACAATAGGCCTACATGAAGTATTACTTTGAGGCTGGCATTATGAACTCCAGAGTTTGCAATGGACTGGAAACGAGCATCCTTTGAGCTGACCGCAGCCGTAAGATCTTTGATGATTTTCTGCACAGTTTCTACAGACTTTGAAACCTGCCGATGTCTGAGATCCACCTGAATATAACACATTCGACCACCATTAATAAAGAAGAACAAAATTAGTATCTTGTAAACAAGCCAAAACAGTGTCCTTAAAGCTATCTGACTAATTAAAATAAAATGTAAAATTCTTTAAGCTACCCAAAGCTCTTTTTTAAGCTATCTAACTGAAAATAAAATAAAATATTAAAATAAGATACAAATCATCAATCAACAAAAGTTAAGTATTCCGTTTTAGATCTCAGTGCTTAATAAAACCCATGACAGCATAAATAGGTCACCTGATTTTGCAAATAGTTGTCTAGATCTTCATCTGTGAAGTTGGTCATTTTGCAGTCTATCCTTAGAATCTGTGTTCTCTTCGAATGCTATTTTTAAGTCTTCTTTCCAGCAGCAGAGCTTGACATATAAGGTCTTTGTGGTCCTTTTTTTGCAGTTCTTTTGTGTCCCAGTGTATGTGTGACACAGATTTCACGAGGGAAAAGCACTTCAGCAGAGACCCATTGATCTCACAATATTGATTTCTGAGATGCTAAAAAGCTCCCATGTTCCTCTGGGCAAATGAGTTCACCAATTGCTTACTCACATGGCAGATCACACACATAGAGAGAAATTTGAATGTAAACATGTGTTTCGTTTTAATCTAGCCTGCATTAGATGTAGGTGGTATAAACAAACATGCAACTAGACAACGATTTCTAAAAATTGTGCTTTTATGTCAGTCTGAATATATCAAATATAAGCTAATTTCAGCAATATCATCAAATAGATGTTATATAAATATAATTTTAAAAATGAAAAATCTTAGACCACTTGAATCCTTTATTTGTTTTTGTTGTTTTTATTAAGCCTGCAAATTAATTGTAGGATTTTGAAAAAAATAAAACCAATCCACATCGGGGTCCAAAAATCTGAGGCCACTTTTAAACCTAGGATATATATATATATATATATATATATATATAGCCTGGAAATAAACAAAGTTTAGGACTTTGAAAAATGTAAAAACAAACAGGGGCTCTGGCATAAAATGAATAAGAAAAATTAATGAGTTCATGCAGCTTGAGCACTGCCATTACAGTAAAAGAGAGACAATATAATGATAAAATGATGATCATTTTTAATGAAATGGACTTCTGGACCCCTCAGTATGTCATTAGCTCATTCACCATAATGCACTACGAATTGGCTGGCTTCTTACACAGTCCAATTTAGTAGAGGTCATGTGATCACAATATAGAAAAAAACATTGTTCCAATCACTTGTACTCCTCCACCCATTAACACACATTAACCTTCCGCTGTCAGTGGTGGAGAGAAAGTCAACTAATGTCATCTGGGTCTGGCCAATTATTAAGGCTGTGTAATAACAATTCATTAACATCATAAATAGGCTTAACACTTATTTATGCAATTAGATGGAGCAAATGATGAACCCTGCTGGAAAAAACCCCACATCAAACCAGCCTGGGCAGCATCTCTCAAAAGCATAAGCCTAGATCACAGAACTATTGGCACCAGTGGTCTCTATATGATCAACTTAGCTCACAATCCTTTTGGGAAACACACCCCTGGCCCTGGATTGTTTCCAGAATGGTCACATTTTCTCCAGACTAAATCACTATGCAAAGAGGACAGAGTAGGCTATATATATTTTTTATAAATATGTTTTTTAAAAGAGAAAGAATTAAGCCTGTTATGAATGTCTCTAAAATTCGGCTGTTGATTTTTGTCGCCATCTAAAGGAAAAATTAGATAACGCGCTTTACCCTGAAAACAGTGACTACATTTCCCAGCAAGGTGTTCGACATTAATATATAACAACAAACTCCAGTGCATTTTTTCTCTCAAAACGGTGTCATTCATATAACCTAAATACATGTGACCTAACTCACGCTGCAGTGGAAAAATTCGAGCTAGGTATGTACTTTGTTATACTGTTTTTAGGCTGAATGATCCAATGTGTTCATGTTTAATATGTAGTTTTGAGCATTAGCTCTCATGCTACAACAAACCTGTCCAATCACACTGGAGTATTTTGTGGACAAATAATCAAATATGTTTATCGTAATCATTTAGAAACACTAGCGCACGAGTTATTGACAACACTCTGTAAAATCTGACGTAGCAATAAGCTATTATGCTAACAAGTACACTATATGAAATGTAAATAATGGGCCCTGATTTCATTGACGGTTTTCCGCCAAAATAAAAGCTCGATGGTTTAACTTTTGAATATCATAAATATTAGTGCTGTCATTTTTTTTTTTTTTTTTTTTACACTAATATTATTATATTTGTCTTAAATCTTTTGATTTTTCCAGTGAAATATTACAATATTAATATTTATTTTGTATAACTTTGCATAACTTAGTGTTTAGTTTGATAGTTTCTATCTAAAGCAATGTGCGAAGACATAAATTTAACTCAAATGTTAATTATTTTTAGCTTTATCTTGTCATTTCAGTATTCCGGTGCTGTTTGCACAGGCACAATGAACTGCTGGGTTTTGTTACGGTTACACAGCGGGGACCTTCGCATTTCTCTCCTGCCTCTGTACTGTTCCCTCAGCCTGCGAGCCCTCAGCTCTAGAGCTATCATCCACAGCTTGAGAGAGAGCTACCGACTGCTGCAGCTGCCTGACGATGGAGCCAGCGGCCCTGCAGAGGTCAAGGAGGCTTACCTACGCATGGCCAAACTCTACCATCCAGATTCCGGTGCTCCCACGGCAGATGCAGCTCTTTTTTCCCAGATAGAGGAGGCCTATCGGGCTGTGCTTACTCACCTCGGCCGGCAGAAGTCTGTCTCACAGTACGACCAATCGCTGGAGGAAGAAGAGGAAGATAAAGTTAAAGGTAATGCCCCTCAACACAGACGTTACCTCAGTTTTGAAGGAGTTGGTTCTGGCACTCCCAGTCAAAGAGAACGACAGTACCGGCAGATTCGCGTTGACCGTGCCACCGACCAGGTTCTGGAGTACAGACGCAAGGAGATGGAGAAGGCGGCAGCGGAAGAAGGAGCCATGGTGACCCGGGATGCACGCTTGCGCAGCAAGAAGATCAAAATCACTCAGGCGGTAGAGAGGCTGGTTGAGGACCTCATCCAGGAGTCTATGGCCCGTGGAGACTTCCAGAACCTCAGTGGCACCGGCAAACCGCTCAACAAGTTTGATCATAACCCGTATATGGACCCCATGACGCACAACCTCAACAGAATCCTCATCGACAACGGTTACCAGCCTGAATGGATTGTGGTACAGAAGGAGATCAGGGAAACCATCGCTAAAATTAGGGAAAAGTTGCAGAAGGTCAGGGCCAGGCTGGGGGAACCCATGAGACACTCTGAAACCCTCCAGTGGAAGGAGCACTGCGCTGTGTTTGAGGATGAACTGGGGAAACTCAACAAGAAAGTGGACAATTTCAACCTGATTGTCCCTCTCATGAGCAGGCAGATGGTGCATTACAGCCTAAAGAGAGAGCTGGAGAAAATACTGAAGACTGATCAGCTGCTCAGGCAAGAGAAGGAAAGAGAAAAAGAAATGAAGCAAGATGAGCAGATGGAGACAGCAAGAACATCTCAGCACACCAGACAAGGACTCATCACCTGGATGCAGAATCTACTTAAATGAGGCTGCATTAAAAAATGCAGAGTTGTAATTCACCTATTGGCCTATTATTAGTGTGATTCAAATTTATTTGCCCCTTCCTTGTTCTTATTATAACTGTAATGAAACAATTATTGTCTTGCTTATTAAAAACTATCAGAAGATTAAAGGCAATAAACAATACCTTGTTGATGTATAAATACTTTTTATATTAACAAATGCCTACAGGAATAACACACTGATCCAACAAAATCCCTCAACTGTTGGAGGCTGGTGTTTGTTGGGATATTGTGCACTAGCCTTAAGACTGCAGGTGAGATGAACCTTTACCATTTATAAAAAAAAAAAAAAAATGTGGCATTCAATTAAATGAACAACAGAGACATATCCTCCTGGGACCCAAGAATAGACTTTTGTCCACTGTAGTGGACATTATATTTTAGTGAATTTCTCTGACATCATACATGTCACATGACACAACCTGGGTGTCCTGTAAAGAGCACATTCAGGACTTTTCAGAGATACCAAATGTTTGGAGGTTTCACCATGAAAACAACTTCTCCTTGGTCTTTAAAAATGTCTGACATTAATTTAGTGATCAAATGTAGCATTCTTATGGAAATATGATAATATAGTGTAATTATAATATAAATTGGACTACTTTTCAAATTGTATTTCATAAAACAACATCTCAGGAAAATGTTAAGGGGTTTAAAAAAAAAAAAAAACTTTCTGTTACAGAACAGGGCATTGATTTCAAACGTGTCCACTGTAGAGGACATCAGGACTAAAATCATGTTTATCAGGCATTCTGGGAGACACAACAAGTGAATATGGAAATAAATTATACATCAATATTCCTATGAAATGTTAGATATTATTATTAAAATGTTGCCAATTATTACTCCAATTATTACCCTTTATTCTTTCATTAAATGTTGCTCCCAGAACACATTAATGTGCAAATTAGATACAGTGTATAGATACATTGCATTGAATGGGAATATTAACTTATGGCCATTTTACCCACATATTGCAAAAAGTAAAATGGTGTATCAATTCATTCCATTATTTCTTTCATAACATAGTTGAGAATAATCTTTATACAAATTTTGGTTGAAAAAATCCTGAAACCCCAAAATGTATTGGTGATTGAAAAAAAAATCCCATTGTTTTTGCCTATACATATAATTTCATGTCATTTTATTTTTTAAACAACTTAGTCCTGGCGTCCACTACAGAGGACATAGCATAACGTATGAATAAAATATTATTTTATATATATGTTTTTTTACCATTTGTTTATTGTGCTCTAAACAGTGTGATGACATGGAAAAAAACTAAATTCAAAAAACTTTTTTTTTCTGGGTCTCAGGAGGATATAAATATATATATTTTTTAATTGAATGAAACAGAAAATCTAATTTATACTCCGTATAGAGATTAAAGAAGTCAACAACAGTAATCTAGGCCCACTCCTGGTGTCTTCCACTGTACCCTGGAAGGTGTCCCAGAGCAGACGGGTTGCTGATGACCACAGGAGATGCTATACTATCCCAGTCTTTAGCTATATACTGATGATACGGATCCTGTGAGTTCTCCACCTTCTTTGAGCGGATATAGCTGAACATGATGCCAAAGGTAAAGAAACTGAAGAGTCCCACCATCAGACAGATGTAGATCATGCCGTGACCTTGATCATTTACCGGAGTTCCACTCAGATGCAAAGGTGGATGATGTGGAGGCACGTATGGAGCTGCTCCCATTGCCCATGTCTCATTAAAGTAGTGCTGCAACCAGGATACCAGCAGAGAATGCACAACTGTGTAGTTCTGCTCTAGCATTCTTCCCACTGTTGATACAGACAGCAAACTCAATAAATATAAACACAGGTAGGATCCATCATTAGTATTTTTCACAACTTATTTAATTTATCTGATGGAATACTTTTAGCCAAATATATTAAAGCAGTCAAATGTTTGAACACACTTGACTGAATTTGTTTTTCATCATCTTACTAATTTGATCTAAATGCTAAAGCCTAAATGTTTAAAAATAATTTTACTTATGTATACAGACTAGTTTGAGATCTGTAAGAGTAAGAAAAAAAAAAAAAAAAAAACTTTTATTCAGCAATGATGCATTAAAGTGACCAAAAGTGACATTAAATACATTTATAATGTGACAAAAGATGTATATTTCAAATAAATGCTGCTCCTTTGAACTTTCTTGTGCTCAAAGAATTGTGGGAAAAAGATATTACCGTTTCCACAATAATGTTAAGCAGCATAATGGTTAAATATTGATAATAATAAGTTCTTGAGCACCAAATCAGCATTGAACGCTTTCTGCAGGATTATGTGCACCGGAGACTGCCTGAAGAGTACAGCCTGCTGAATAAATTACATTTAGCTATATATTAAAATATAATTAACATAAAAATAATACGCAAGCATTGGTGAACAGTATGCACAATTGATACATAAAAAGTACATATATATATACACTTTTCTTTTTTATTGGAAAATTAAACCTTGTGCAGGCACTGCAGCCAACAGGTGCTCGGTATAGATAATCAAATATATATACATATATTTTTCTCCAGTAAGAAAATAATATAATATAAAATGATTATAACAAACATACCTTATAGTCTTTGGTGGAAATATGAACTTTTGGTTTACTGGAAGAGAAGCCAAAAATTGTGTTGTGAATCTTTCCTGCTAGTCCTCTTGTGTCGTACTTTAAAAAAATAGACTAAGGGAGACAGGATAGTATCTGAGATCATGGTTCCACCCCATTGTGAACATGGAGAGACTTACTCAATGATATCCAACCCTCTTAAGATGTCAACAGCTTTAATGAATCTAACAAGCCAAGGTCATCAGCTTCTTCAGGAAGAAAAGTCTGAGTCTGAGAAAAGACTATAGCTGACCAATGAAATTCTGCACAGATCAGCCCCATCCCTAACTAATAGTTATGTAGGACAGAGTGATGTTTTTCAATGTATCTTTTTGACTTTAACAAGCTAGTTAAAACATATGTTGGTGAAGATGGGCATTAGTCACATGGAGACTGTAGATATTTCTATCACCTCTGCCAGCTTGACCTTGATGCTAAATAACTCCACACGCAAGTTGAACAATGGCGTACATTGAGGCAGGCAGGAAGGCATTTCGAGACTTTTACAGATTCTATTTCAAGGCAAAAAAAAGAAAGAGAGACATATCCTTGAAAAGTCCTCGACTTGCGTCATGATTGCGATACCAGCATACTGGATGTACGCTGAGTCATCTTTTGAAAATGACTAAATGCATAAAACTCAAGAGGCATGTGGGCTGAAAGACAGAACACTCACAATATTGCAGACTAAAATACAGTTTTGCTTAAAAAAAAAAGGGAAAAGGGCAGAACAACTTTGTGAAGAAAAACAACTTATTTTAATGACATGTTATGGCTGTTATTTATGACAGGACAAACACCCAAGCCATTTCCAAGTCAGTGACATTTTCAAAACCAAGTAAAATACAAAAAACAAAACAACATATACCATTATATACAGACATTACAAACAGTAAAAGGCATCAGAAATATATTATTAAGCTCCATGTAATAAAATCAATTGATGTTCATTCTGGCAAAGAGTGTAACAGTCCTCAATCAAAACTGTTTACAGTGTTATGGTCCTACAAATGACTCAAGTGCATGAAATTGAGGACCATTCCTTTCAGTACATCCTAAAAACGCATCTTAAAGACTACTTTGGGAATTTTTAAAAAAGTCAGTTTTGTTAAATACGTTAAAACAATGGACTCTCATATACCCTAACTCACCTTCCCCCAGAAAAAAAAGCTGTGTACTTCTAGACAAATAAAAATGTTAGTCATACGAGAGCACTAAATTGTGATTCTGTAATTTAGGAACATGCTGAGGCACAAGGTGGAATGAGACTTACAATTGCCATATGACTGGGAAAAATACCCCCCCACATTTTATGACAAAATATTTACTTCATAGTCAGCATTTACTCTAGTTCCAATAATCTTGCACTTGAGTGCTAATTAAATAAGACCTTGAAAATATCAAGCTAAACTAAAAGGAAATACAAAGTAATCATATCAACACACCCAATGACTGGGATTCAACATGCTTCCCAAGATACAAAAAACACTACACAATATGAGACCGATGTTCTCCATGGCCACAGTTACCAATGAAAGCACTCTTGAAAACCCCTAGCCTGCAGAAAAATGAGTCACTCTACCATCGAACGAACGCATGCAGTGAACCCCATTGTCCTATGACATTATGTCTCTCTCCACAGGGATGAGGTTCTGTCTTAAGGCGTCCTCTAGTGGTCTGGAGAACCAACTGCGTGCCTCTGCAGATCCCCCAGAGGGTCTTGTGATAGTAAAGCAAAGATTATGGCACAATGAGAGGTTGCCTAGGATCACTGCGTGACTGTATATTCTGGACGACGGGTCTGGATGATTTTTGGACGTGGACGTCTGCAACCATCCATATCCTCCTCATTTCCTGAGCTTTCTTGATCGTTCTCGCAAACATGAACAACCACGCTGGGAGTGGTGGGAGTTCCTGGCTGGAGCTCATACTTTTCACCTGCCGTACAGAGAGAATTTATTCTTAAAAGTTCAAAGCATGCCAAATGAAATTAATAATTTAATCGCTGACCTATTTCAGAAGTATGGACCATTCAGAAAAAAAAGATTCATTGAGAATGTGAGACGTTACATGTGTTGTACCTGGCCCTAGTCTGGAGATGGCACACAGAAGGTCATAGTTAATGACAGGTGTGGCGTCCTTTGCCTGCTCCCAACCCACAGGAGGTGACGGAGGAGGGGACAGGAGGAACTGCTTATCTGGTTTAGGAGGCTCCAGGTGTGGACTGCCAATGTGCACAGACTAGGAAAAAGAAAGATAATTTTTTTTGTGATGATAAGTACACAAAAAGCAGGCAAATAACCAGGTGTCATGCAATAAACAGTAATAATTATGGAATAATGTACAGTCAGTTGGTCTTTATTGCAAAATAAATCCTGACACAAAGTGGAAAGGCATTAAAGCAGTGGTTCTCAACTCCAGTCCTCGGGACCTGCTGCTCTGCACATTTTGTATGTCTCTCTTATCTGACACACTCAGTTCAGTTCATAGAGACTATCCTAACGAGCTGAGGATCTGAATCAGGTGTGTTAAATAAGGGAGACATACACAATATGCAGAGCAGTGGGTCCCGAGGACTGGAGTTGAGAACCACTGCATTAAAGTTTAGCAGTCATCAGTGAAAAAAAATAATATATATATAAAAAAAAAAATATATATATATACACTATATAAAATAGAAAAATAAAACCAAATAATACAAATATGTATTCAATAATATACTATATAATAACAACATTATTATTTAGTTGTTTTGTTTATACAGTCAGTTGTAAATTGTCAAATAAACCCTGACGCAAAGTGAAAAGTCATTTATACAAACATCTGACTGCAGAATGCCACAACTGACCAATCAGAATCAAGTTTTTTTAAAATAAAAAAAATAAAGATAATAAAGCTATGTATTGTTATTAAATGATACAATTATATAATAATTTTATTATATTAATATATACAAATAATAATAAAAATATTTCACACACAGATATTTTTATAGGCTACTTTTAGGTGACATACCTGGGCAAAATAGAGTCGCACCTCCCTGCCGTTGAAGTCACTTTTGTGGAGTTTTGCTCTTGCCTCCGCAGCGGCCAGAGCATTGGTAAAGTTTATCCTCACCCGACGGAAACTCTTGAAGAACTGGAAGGTGACATTTCGGTCAAAGGCACGGAATAGATCCTCAAAACTAGCCTGTGGATGAGAGGAAAACATCTCAAATTAATACAGTTGATGCATCTTCATGGAAACAGCAGTAAGAAATGAACATTTTGCTGTTGAAGCAAGAAGAGTACATAAATAAACATTCCCTGTTGAGCAATCTGATGTCAAGTGTTTGAAAGTGTACCTCCATTTAGGCTCAGACTGGCAACCTTTATAAAAAAAACCTTAATCCTATACCACTAGATTACCAACCACCCTGTGGCGAGACTGCGCTCGTATAAGACTTTATGGTTCTGAATCCATTTATCTTGTTTTTGGGGATACTGCCAGATTGTTATTCAGTTAACGCTTCTATATTAAACCTTACTGACGCACATAGTACTAATCTAATACACATCCTAAAAATGACCACGTCTGTCAGTGGTGCTCGACTAGATATTGGTTTCCAAGGTAACAGAGACTTACTGCACAGTGTGAACATGCAGACGGACTATCCTGATGGACCATTTCAAGCTATGCAGAGATTTAGTAGAGTATGATCCACAAATCCTGGGTTATTCCTATTGGGTATAGGTGTAGTGTATGCATGTGTGCGTAAGAGCTTACGTCAGATTCAAAAACCCCAAACTGTCCATACAAATGCTCATTAAATGTTCCAACAGCATCTTATTCCATGATCTAACCACCCCTACCACAAACCAACTGGATCATTAGCTAAATACATAAATGATACACAAGTAGGTCATTTGGTCAACCCCAAACCACACATAAAGCACAAATCAAATAAGTTAGTCATCATCAATAAAGACAAACTGTTATATAAGGGTTTCAAACAGCTTTCGGATCTCTTTCTATGATTGTCATTCATTCTAGTTAATGGCTGAAACAACTAGCCTATTCCAGCAGTTTAATGCAATTTTTCTAGTATTTACTTAAGCTATTTCAATATTGTAAGGCACCATGTCAATGAAGCCTTACCCTCTCTTCGGGTCTGTTAAACATATCCAGATCCTCTAAGGAAGCGATAAGGCAGAAAGGGTTGCACTTCATGGTTTTCAGGTGCATGACTGAAGCCCGTTGACGGATCCTCCGGAGGACTTGAGAGGTTAGAGAACGTAAAGGGCAGGAGGGGTTGAGACGTGTCCGTTTTGACTTCCCCAGCGTGAGGACACGAATGACGCCTGCTTCAGGAAACAAATGCTTTCGATATCACCCTCTTCGCTCCTGCTTTCCCTGTCCTTCTCTGGCCGTCTCAGTCCCGCAGAGAGCCTTGAGCATTTGCAGAAAGGAAATGGGTCAAACCGAGTAATGTATACACAAATATAAGCCCAGCGTCTTTGTAGGCTACTGTGGTCACGTGACGCTGCTTTGTTGAGAGAGAATCTTCTGGAATCGTCTGTGCTCCTGCACCACCGATCAAACGTCTGGAATGCTTGGTAAGACTGCAGCTCACTCATCCGTCTCGTTTTATATAAAGGTCCCTCACAACCGCAAAACAACAGGCTCCGCCCACTGACTCCGCCTCACTTTTCCATTCTGTACCGAAACGAATGGCTCTGCTGACTAATCACAGACACACACCCTGAGAGTGCAAGTCCTGGAAACTATGTGACACTGCTTTCCATGCAGCTCAGATTCAGTTCGGCCAATCTCTGCTCAATTCTGTCACACTATTTCAGGACACACGGTGTGGTAAAACAATGATCTGTATCGCTCATCTCACAGCCTATATCTCTTTTACGCTTCCCCTCCCATCTTGATGGAAAATCTAAATCAGCTGAGCTGGGCAGAAGGGCAGCTGTGTGTTATCCAGCGCTGCCCGCAGCATATTTTCCATGGGTGTTAATTCCTCTCGTGTTCTCCTGTCTGACTCCAGGGGCAGTGGATTTGTCCCGTTATTAGTGAAGAGCAGCTTTTTAAGTGGCATTCAGCTGTCACATTGTCAGGCTTATTTTTAACACTGATCTGCATGACGTTATTCTCTCCGAGTCTTGCAAGTATTATAAACACTATCCATATTCTCCCTCTCGATTGTTTAAACATCGAGACTATTACTAAATACTGAAACTGACGACGGTGAAGCTGATGCACAGAGATTAACTGTAATCTGCTATGAAGGCACATTTAGCCTTTTAATTAAAATTGGGAATATGATAACACTTAAAATGCAGTTCTCAAAAAAAAAAACCAAAAAAAAAAAAACCTGGCTGGTCTGTGGACAGCATTGAGAAAAAAGAATGCTAAATGCAAATAAAAATGACACAATGTAATCTTACAAAACGATTTCTATTTCAAATAAATGTAAAGGACAACAAAAAAGATGATATGATGCTTGATGAAGATTTAGCTAGTGCACTCCTTCCTAAACTCCCTTAACTCTACTTTTAGATCGTTCCCGCGGGAAAGAGAAACCTCAGATGAGATTTGTATAATATCTCAGTTGTTTCTCCTAGACGGCAATGTAATTAAATGCAGAGAGAATGGCAACTTTTCCTTACGTCTTTTGCTTCTCAGTGTTTGTTTCTGCAGAAAGAGTATCAGAAAAGATCTCAAACACATACTAAAAGTCAGAGATCAAACATTTCTCATCATTTTTTGTCCAAATAAATGTTCAAATAAATGTTGTCCTTTTGAACTTTCAATTAATCAAAGAATACTGAAAAAAAGTGGTCAAGGTTTCCGCAAAACTATTAAGCACTACCATTTTTATATGATAGTATATCATTAAAAATGCTTCTTGCACACCAAATCAGCATATTAGAATGATTTCTGTAATATCACGTGACTGAGGACTGGAGTAACAATGCTGAAAATTCAGCTTTGCCGTTACAGGAATAAATTACATTTTAAAATACATTAAACAGAAAACAGTTATTTTAAATTGTAACAATATTTCACAATATTGCCATTTTACTTTTTTTTTTTAATCAAATAAACACAGCCTTCTATAAGAGTATGAGACTTCTTTCTAAAACATTGTTGAAAATATTTTTTATATTTATCATTATTGCCATTTTAGTACAGAGGAGAGAAGAGAGTAGCCTACAGAAGAGGGAAAAACTGCAATGGAAAAAGTTGTGGGATGCTGGAGACGGATTTCGAATGGATTTTAACATCCAAAACTGGACAGAACAGAACTAACTCTGACTATTCTTCAGTCCATGCACATAATCACAAGCACATTTCTTTTATCTCTATTAACTGACAAATTATATACAACCTTGAAGTGAACATTCTTCCCATACTTTCCACACAGACTTTCCACCTCTCAATCTGGTAAAGAGATAAGAGAGACACTAGCCATAGGCATCTGTCAGTCATGTGTGCAGATGTTTTAGTCAAAAGCTGGGATTCCAGTGGAACAAAGCCTCTTATTAGAGAATGGAAAAAAAAAAAAACATGAAACCAAATAACAAAGAGGAAGAAACATGGTAAATGGAAAATGATGAACAGAGCAGCATTGTGTTGCTGTATTTTGTGTATATGCTTTTATATGGGTGGAAAGCATCTGACAGGTGTTATTATAATAAACATTATACATTAAAAACATTTCTTTCCAGTCAGAAGCGTAAAACAAGTTGAATTCCTCATTTTCAAATGGCTAAATATCCAAAATATTAGCTAAGTCCATCAAAGTTATGACAAATCATATTATCTACCGTTACTGTAATGACAAATTTAGGTTCTTATTTACTGTTTAAGTTACAGCAAATAATCAAAGGTAAAAGTTACAGCAAGAAAAATATCATCTACTTCAAATAAAGTTTTTATAGTAATAATAATAATGATTATTTTTCAACTGAATTTGCCTTAATTTGATGTTACTTTATTATTAATAATAATAATAATCATCATCAATGTAAAAGCGAATTACATTATCTACTGTCAATGTTAGGAAATTCAATTCTTATATTTACCATTTATGTATTGGTAAATTAAGAACTTAAAAATAACTTTATGTGGATAAAATGATTACGTATTACGTAAGTAACAGGTCATTATTAATATTTAGTCAAATGGCAAATTAAATTTGTATCTACCCCCAAAGCAAATTCAGTATTATTTTCTGTCGTTGTAATGAATTTATCATCTGCAATCAATGTAATGGAAAATAAAATGATCTGCTATCTATTTCTTGGCAAATGAACTCATCATCTAGAAATGTGTGTAAAGGTGGAAAGTGGGCCATGGCACAAGGTGTGGAGAGCACATATTATTAGCCTACCTAATAATAATAGTCGAAACTGACCTGAGGGTAAGTTCAGGACTTGGCTCCATTTCAAGCTTTCAGAAACTATGAGCATGACTTACAGGCTGATGTCACTCATTTGTCCACTTAAACGGCACATTTCATGTTTAGAAGCACCAATTCAGGAAGTGGGTTCCAACTTCCAAGAAAGTTTCTAAATGAGTCAGTGTTTTGTTTATAAGACCCTAGCTGTGGTTTTGATATCAGAATAGGTTTGCTCAGGGAATGTGAATTCATCTGACACATTTAAAAAGAACAGCTTATATTTTCCACTGAGACACAGCTGAGTTTATGACAGCTCGAGGACCCATGTCGCACAGAGCAAGTGTCAAAACTCCTTCCAGACTTTCCACAGAAAGCAGCAACCAAAGTGGATTTTTCATCATGAGAAACTCAGCTGACTGTGAATAACCACACAAAAAAAAAAAGCCACATATTTTGACACATGTATTGCCTGGAGAGAAAATATACAGTGAAACTAGACAGTGTAACATATCCCAGAAAAGTGTTTCTTAACTAGTTAAACTATAAAGCAGCAAAGACCAATAAAGCCTTGGAAATTAGGCTTTTGATTTGTTTCAATTTACAATGGCCTAAACTACAACACTTTCTCATGTTAACAATAGACAAGAATTTCTTTTGTTTGCAACACATAGTCATAAAATGTGTTTTATGAGGCATTATGTGTCCTCATCTTCATAAAAACAGAAGATGAGGACACATAATGTCCTAGATCCTCATGTATATTGTGAATATACCAGGTTTGTACATGTGGAAACTTGAACAAAATTTTTATTATAAGCGAATGGTGAATGTGGCAGGAGAAAGATTTTTGGCTGTTGAGAGCAATTAAAGGGTTAGTTCACCCAAAAATGAAAATTCTGTCAGTATTTACTCACCAACATTTACATGTTGTTCCAACCCCGTAAGACCTTCGTTCATCTTCGGAACACGAATTAAGATATTTTTGATGAAATCTGAGAGCTGGATCACTCCTCCATACTAGTCCATAGGCTTCTTCAGGGATTGAACTTGCCGGCCTCGAAAAGTTATTAAAGACATCGTTAAAATAGTCCAAGTGACTACAGTGGCTCAATCTTAAGTTTATCAAGCGACAAGAATACTTTTTGTGCGCAAAAACAAACAAAAATAACGACTTTATTTCAACTATTCATTTCCTTCTCTTTGGGCCTCTAGTCAGTTAATGTAGTGTGATTCCGTAGAGCTACGTCACACGTAGGCTCACTATTGCCCGACGCTGGTCATGTGCGTGATGCGTGTGACGTACAACAACAGAAGCTTACGCTATTACACTAGTGAACTGACTCCAGGCCCACAGAGAAGGAAATGAATAGTTGAAATAAAGTCGTTATTTTTGTTTTTTTTGCGCACAAAAAGTATTCTCGTCGCTTGATAAACTTAAGATTGAGCCACTGTAGTCACTTGGACTATTTTAACGATGTCTTTAATAACTTTTCGAGGCCGGCAAGTTCAATCCCTGAAGAAGCCAATGGACTAGTATGGAGGAGTGATCCAGCTCTCAGATTTCATCAAAAATATCTTAATTCGTGTTCCGAAGATGAACGAAGGTCTTACAGGGTTGGAACAACATGAGGGTGAGTAATTACTGACAGAATTTTCATTTTTGGGTGAACTAACCCTTTAAGATGAACAAAAACGCGTAAATAGAGTAGAGCGCAGTCTCGTGTGTACCCCCCGGCCTGCGAGGGGCGATGGGGGTATGTGGCGAGCAGGACGAGGCCGAGGGACGTGAGAGAGCGGCGCGAGGCCAGTGGCGTGAGTGATAATGAACGACACCTGTGAGACGCACCGGTCTTGCATCTCTCACGGAGGAGCGGAAGCATAAAGGAGGAGCGACGACAGTGAAGATCGAGAGAGGAACAGGCCTGAAGTTATGTTGTGTTTTTATGTTCTGTTTTGTGTGCCAGCAGTCGTCCGTGACGGGCTGCTGGCTTATACTGTCATTTTGTATTTGTTTATTTATTATTAAACTTGTTGAACGTTCGCCGGTTCCCGCCTCCTTCTTCCCATAACACAGACTGATCTCATGAAATGGCGTTTGTATGACACGCCAATTCGTATTTCCATTTTTGGCGTGCTATCAACACGCATAATCGCTTTTCAGCGTGTTTATCAACGCCGTTGACTTACATTACTGTATTAATATATGACCTACCCCAACCCCGTCCCTAAACCTACCCG